AGTGTCGGAAAAAAACATACCTCCTGTTGACTTTCATTGCCTAGTCTCTTAAGATAATTATGTAATTATAACAAACATTTTAGTAATCTTACAGGCTATTTAAATTTATATTAATACTTTTATCAGAGTAATAAATAACAAAAAATTTACACACTCGAAAATAAATTCAATCGCGTTTCTTACACCAATGACGGGACTCATTTAATTTTACACTTACCTATTAGGATACTCTGATCTGATACCCATGCGAATCGGGGCAGGTCAGTGGTAGTAGTGTAAGTAGGCATTTATTTAGTAAAAATGGTGGTCTGATCATTAATAGTCAAATGACTTACCTTAGTCATTGCTTGCCCCATTATTCACCGGTATCCTCACAAGACCGCTACAGGAGTCACATTAGAACCTGGATTAAAAAGTTTTTTTTAATGTACGATAATTTTAACTTAAAAGTAAGTTCTTATTGTTTTACTTCAACATGCGTAGGTACAACATTAAACTCACCAGAATATTCATTGAACTAAGTACTTACATAAAGTTTGTAGGTCTTCAAAGTATTTTCCAGTTACCGATTTAGTCATTTATTTGCAAATTAGGCAAACTTTTTACAAATCACCAACAGGTTCAAATTTAACCGAAGTAACAAAACAAATCCATTTTTTTTATTCATTTCTTATTTTCACGTCTGTCATCATGACGATCTTCTTCTTCTTTTTTGATGTTGGCAATACCCGTTGAAGTGAACTTGATTGTGCCATTGCGTATAGTTGCATAGTTCCAAAATACAGAGCCCCGATTACGGTAACTTTTAACGTCTACAATCCAGACGCGTTTCTGATTCTGCGATACGATTGGTCAAAACAGCTGACGTACGCTGTTGAACGACCAATCGTATCGAAGAATCGAGAAGCGTGTCTGGATTGTTGACGTTAAAAATTACCGTAATCGGGGCTCTGAACAGTGGGTGCAAATTATAATCGCAAACCAGTCGAAAAGTGGTCGAAAAGCCCCTTTTTTGTATGGAGTTTTGACGGATTCAATTTTCGATTCGATCAAAAAGTGCGTTTTGTCTAGGGAGGCTGTCCTATGCATGACATTGACAGTGGGGCGCCATCAATACCGGATCGCTGGTTCCGATTTTTTCCATGTTGGAAACCATATAGTTGAACGATGGTAGCGCCCCACTGTCATTGAGTTTGGTGGGACAGTTCAACGTGGGTCATCTATAGTATCGTGGCCGCGTGGATGCTCACGTCTTCGTTCCAAACTATACTACACCACATATTGTACACTTGACTAGAGTGTGTTTAGTTTTATATTGATCCACTAAAATTCAGTCAAATACAGAATTAAAATAAAAGGATGATGGGCATATTGGGCGTTAAACCAACAAAAACAAAAAGTATACTAAATTAAAGCTTAATACTAGTACTACATTTCATAGCATGTCGACAATCCTGAAATACGCGGAGATACGGAGATAGAGGTCGTTGAATATGCAAAGTCATAAAGTATTTCACATCACATTAGGGTAATAAAAATAGTATTAGGTCAATTAGATTGCTTTTATCGATCATATTGAGAGTNGTACAATCCGTAAGTGATTTACGCTCGCGTAATATATCTACACATTATAATATATATTCTGGACAATACTAACATATAGACACTCATAAACACAAACACACACACATACACACACGCACACACACACACACACACATGAATTAAGTATGTACCCAATCTAGTTGTAGTTAGGTCTGTAGTGGCGAGGGCCTGGTAATCGGTTAGACAGGGTGTCTTAGGCACCCTAGTACAGATACCAGTCTCTCACAAAGGTATTATTGCTGTATGATGATAACTTACTGTAACTAGATATAAGTTTTTATACCTCTGTGAAAGAGAAATAAAGTTTATTTATTATTTATTATTTAATATATATTCTGGACAATACTAAAATATAGACACTCACAAACACAAACACACACACATACACACACGCACACACACACACACACACACACACACACACACACACACACACACACACACACACACACACACACACACACACACACACACACACACACACACACACACACACAC